AAATGTGACGCAGTAAAAACAGAAAGTAGAAATAAACTGAAGGGCTTCTTGGAGTAAATACTTTTTCCATCACTGGTTTGTTTTAATGCAGAGTGTGTGAGGCTGATGTTTGCAGATGTGAATGAGGAGACACTGAACATCTGGATGAGAAGTCAGACTTCAATCTTGTTTCCGTTCACATGCTTCCATCTAGCGGCGCAGGGAAGCGACTCATGTCCAGAGTTTCACTTCAGCTCATTCATTCATCCACAGCGATGAGTGACACGTGGTCATCTTTACATCACGTGTCATTTATTAATCATCCTGTGAGACATTTTTAATTCTGACTTGAATTTGTCTCGACTGCTTTTTGTTTCTTTCAACAATATAAGATTTGATGTGATCATCACTTCATCTCGTGTTTATTTTATTCATTCATTCATTTGGGAAAAATGTAAATTATCACAGATGGTGTGTTTTTTATAATTTCCTCTCCCTCATCCAGTCGTTTACATGTTTTTATATTTTAATTCACATTTTGAAAAGATAAGTTCAACAATGAGACTGAAACATTTTCTTCTCTCTGTGTTTGAAGAAAGTTGGTTTTACCTGCTTTAGTCTGACACCTAGTGGACAACAGGGGAAACATCAGCGTTTGATCCTTTATATAACAAACATAAAGAAACTGTTGGAGCAGAATTTTGGTTTATTATTAACGATTCATTTAAAGTGAGAGCTGCTGATTTAAATCACAGAGAATTATATGAAAGTGGACTTTTTAAATGGAGGGGATGTGATTTTGAGGAACGCAGGTTTTTGCTTCGATTAAAGACGTTTTTAAAACGTTTTGAAATTAAAATTTAAAAATCAACTTTTATTAATAATTGAGAACATGAATCAATTCACATTTAACTCACATGTCTCTAACCTCCAACCTGCTTCATTATATAAACCAGTGTCACCTGAACCCAGAGACCGATTCACAAGTTAAAAACAGTATCACTGGATTAAGACGGAGTTCAGAACGGAGGTGAAGGTGTTTAGATAGA